GGACAGCCAGAGCTACATGGTGAGGCCCCATGCCTGCAGTGGGCTATCTCCTGTGAGTTGTTCGTCAGAGAAGCCTCTGAGACCCCACAAGTCATAAAAGAAAGCTATTGTTACTGCTGTTTGTCGTATGCCAAAACTAGCCGGTAAGGCCCTGTGGTAGTTTGAACATAAAGGCCCCCATAAACTCATAGGGAGTAACATTATTAGGAGGTGTGGCTTTGCTGGAGTAGGTGTGGCCTTGTTGGAGGAAGTGGATGGCGGGGGAGCCTTGAAGTCTCATATATGCTCAAGCCACACCCAATGTCTCAGTTCACTTCCTGTTTCCTTCAGATCAAGATGTAGAATTCTCAGCTCCTTTTCTAGCACCATGTCTGCCATGATGCTAATGGTCTAAACCTCTGAAATGTTACACATCCCAATGGAATGTTTCCTTTATAAGAGTTGCCATGGTCACTGTGTCTCCTCACAGCAACAGAAACCCTAAGATAGACCCTATTGCTGAGGACATGACACGTGCGTGCTTTGACTCTAGGACATAGAGAAGTTAAAGTGGAGCTGACCTGGAAATTCTCACTCTGCTGACTGCTTTCACGGTGCTGAAGGGGCCCTGCAGGCTGCTGGAAGAGAATTATCACCAACATTCCTGCCTGGCTATGAACCCTGTGTACTTTAGCACATAAGTAGGCTGTACCTACTTAAGCAATAGTGACTTGGCTATCATGGGTAAACAGCCTACCAATCGGATTTAAGGCTTGCTCTGCAACAGGAAGCTCAAGCCTGGTAACTGTAAGCCAGAGCCAAGAAACTCTGGCTGGAGAGGTCAAAGGTCCCAATGGGGAAATAGCTTCTATGGTTTTTTTCTAAATGGATGTGATGTGACTGTCACACTGTCTGCTAAACATGTGGTTTATGCTCGTAGATCACTCTTGTTATCGGCTGTAACTATAACCACCAGTGAAGCTCTGGAGAACAAGCGACTGTCAGTGTGGCAGGGTGACCCATTTCTTAGCCATAAGCGGACATCTATAGTCACCCCCTCCTAGGCTCAGGGATCACTGTGGAAGAGGGCCAGGAAATAATGTAAGAGCCAGAGGAAGGGGTGGAGCGCCGTGTAACTGACGTCCCTCAGTGACGGACTGTGATATGGAAGTGTGCTTCTGGTCATGGTGTTTTATCACTGCCATAGAAACAATAAGGCACTGCCCTTCCCGGCTGTGTGTGACCTCGTGTGGTATGACCTCATGTGGTCAGTGCATTGAGAGAGTTCACTGAACCTACCCTTGCTTACTAGCCCTTCTCCCTTCCCCTTCCTCCCTTACTTCCCCTGCCCCTGTCTCTGTCTTTCTCTCTCTCTCTCTCTCTTTCTCTCTCTCTCTCTCTCTCTCTCAGTGCCTGTGTCTGCATCTCTCTGAGTTGCTGTCTCTGTGTAACATACATACACACATACACACACACACGTGCATGCACGTGCTCACACACACACACACACCACAGAGGAATCACTTTCTGAACAATGTTTAACACAAGAAGCAACTGAATACCTAGACATCACCTCACCTCAGTCCTGGTGTTGAGTAATAGTTTCTTCTGAGATTTAAACATTCAGTCATACTCCTGAAGATCTTAAGCAGGACGGTAAACAACTCAAAGAAAACAAAAAACAAACAAACAAAAACTTCAAGAAGTCCCTGAAGCTAATCAGATCTGCTAGGCCCCTCCCTGCCAGAGAAAGCAAGGGGGGGTGGGGCACTCACTGAGACTCCCTCTGAGACTAAGCAGAGCCAAGCTCCAAAATGTCCCAGGCCCGATCAGCTACCTGGAAGAAGTTAGAACAAGTGAGGCTCCTGGAAAGGACACTCTCCAATCTGTCAAGCTGCCTGCAGGCTGTGCAGTGTGCCCCAAGTTCCCAGCTTTGTGAGTTTTCACAGGTGCTGGGGTAGGCTTTGGTGATGCAGCTGTCTTTGAGTCATTTCTGTTCCTGCAAGTAACCCCTCACCCATATTCTTGAAAGTAACTCCAGTAAAATTCATTTGTTTGCCAAGTTGGACTTTGATGGTATCCATTTTTCTGTCTGTCATGGGCTTCCTATCTGGGGTGAGTAAATTTATGTGTAGCATGTAGGATAAAAGTTCCCAGCCTAGTTCCAGGATTGAAAACTTAGCAAAACCCACCAATCCCTCAGCTCAAAATCCCACCAATCCCTGAGCTCAAAATCCCACCAATCCCTGGACTTGACATGAAACCCTACCAATCCTCTCCCTGGAAAACTCTTCCCTCCCTCCCCCTACCAAGAAACTCGGTATAAAGCCTGCCTCCTGCTCAGTTTCTTGCTGCTTCTAGCCAGAGCAGAAGCAGCCACCCCTTGTGTCTCTCCCAATAAATCTCTTGTGTGAAGTATGTTGTATGGTGACTTTGTGGTATTCTTTGGCTCCTAACTGCCCTTCAGAGCTGTTCAGAACATGTGCATGGGGGACGCCTTCCCCCTCAGAGCTGCAACACTCCACTAGGGATGCCTTCCCCCTCACTCTTACCTAGTGTCTTCCCAGGAAAAGCTTACCCAGAAGAGCTGCAGGGTCAGAGAAGCCAGCTCAGGTGCCACCAACATCTTGGTCCAGCCCCACTGGGAATCCTAGAAATCAATAGTTTTCTCAGCTATAGAATAACCTATAGACCTAGATACATTGGGTATGATGGTTCTAGGCTGTAATTTAAACCCTCAGAAAACTGAGGCATGAACATGGACACAGATTCAAGGCAAGCCTAAGCTATATAGAATTCCAAGACAACCTGAGCTACAGAGTAAGACCTCCAAAACATATAAATTAAATAAATAAATAAATGTTACTTCTCTCTGGGTCCCCCAAATGCTGGCCTGCTCCACAGTATTTGACGACATAGCCATGATACAGAAGAATCCCCATAACTGATCAAGAAGGAAACAGATGATGACTGCAAGAGTTTTAGCAGGGCCTGGAGATGGTGGCGCATGCTTTTAATCCCAGCACTTGGGAGGCAGAGACAGGAGGATCTCTGTGAGTTCAAGGCCAGCCTGGTCTACAGAGTTTCAGGACAGCCAGGACGCTTCACAGAGAAACATTGTCTAAGAAAGAGAGAGAGAGAGAGAGAGAGAGAAGAAAGAAAAGAAAAAAAGAAGGAAGAAAGGAAGGAGGGAGGGAGGGTGGGAGGGAGGGAGGGAGGGAGGGAGGGAACCTCAGCAGTACCAGCTTTCATTACTGTCATGATCTGGAACATTCTTCAGGCCTCCCGGCCTCTTCCATTGTCTCCCCTCAGACTCTGACCACACCGTGTGGAATCACAGACGGGGTACTAGAACTCTTGGGTTAGTTCACCATACACACGTAGAAACAGCTTGCCCTTTGGAGAAACTCCTTCCTAGACATTCCTTTCTGGTATGCTGTTCTGACAGACAAGGCCGACTATCTAGGGCTCTGTTTTTAAGTGTTTTAGGGGATGGAGGGTTGGGACCTGAGGAATAAAGAACTGGAACTGAAGTCGTGTAAAGAAGAAATGATGTCATTAGAATTCCTGGGTTCAGGCCCCCACCAGGCCATCTTTCTTTTTTTTTTTTTTTTTTTTTTTTTTTTTTTTGGTTTTTCGAGACAGGGTTTCTCTGTGGTTTTGGAGCCTGTCCTGGAACTAGCTCTTGTAGACCAGGCTGGTCTCGAACTCACAGAGATCCACCTGCCTCTGCCTCCCAAGTGCTGGGATTAAAGGCGTGCGCCACCACCGCCCGGCCAGGCCATCTTTCTTAAAGCTGACACTAGGGGGAGCCATGCTAACGCCTCCCCCACAAAAGCAGTACAGGTGGCGCTCTTACTCTTGAATCAACAAAGACTTTACGAGTTGGGTTAAATACACATTAATCAGTAAATACTCAGGCAATCCGTTCATCAAGAGATACAAACAGAAACAAGGTCGGGCTCTAGAGCAGGTGCTAACTGCGGTCTGTCATGGAACTCCAGCCTCGTTGGTCTGTCATCTTCACACTTCATGGAAAATCCATTAAAACATCTGCCGGGCCATTAGCCCTGACTCTGAGTCGGAAGCCTCCCTCGGGCACTGTTCTGTGGCTGGAGCCCCTTTATTAATACTTAGTGTAATTGCTTTTGAAGCAGATAATTGTGAGAACACTGCTTAAACCCGGAAGGGGAACTGCAGGATGGGATCTTTGCATCTTATGTTTAATACATAGGAACCGCATCCTCCTCAGGCGAGACAGAATGTCAGAAACTTGAATTTTTTTTGAAGCAGGGCAGATTACTCAATCTGCAAAAGAATTCACTGTAGGATTATTTTTAAGCTAAGAAGTCAAAATTATTTTATTTACAAAATTTCTATCTACTAACATCTTTTCCATGCTACAGCTCAAGCATAAATGTCACACAATTTATTTGAAAAGCAAAATGCAGTTCTAATTAGTGCCCTAGTGACTGCTGACCACAGAGCTGAAGGTCTGTATTCATAAACAGGGTGACCAGAAGTCACATTTTAAGAAGACTTTGAAGTCTCAGCCCAAAGGCCTAGATAGGACTGTGACCTGTCGAGACGTACAGAGCAAGGGGGATGAACTAAAGAGGACCTTAAATCAGACTGCAGTTCAGACCATTGCGAGTCCATGCTTCTCGCAAGGTCCTGCTTCCAACATAGAGACTCTCAGCCTGCGTAGACCAGCCACATCCTGGGAGCACTCTAGCCCAATACAGAGCTGTTGGAGAGTGTGGAGTTGCTGAGAGCTTTGCCCATAGTGCTGGCTTCTGTTGCCCTGAACTTGAAGAGGGGCGAGTATAATGGGACGTCACCCTCCAAAGTCAGGAGCAATACAGTCAGGCTGCTCAGTCGAGTACTAATCTGTTTTTATTGCTACAAACTGGATTTCACGAATGGCTCAGTCACAAGGTTTTTCAGAGCAAATTCAAGGTCACTCCCCCTTGTACTCACGTCATTCAGTTGCACTCACTCTGGCTTTTATCAAACAGAGAGGGGTATACAGGTGGCGCGCTGTGAATCTCTCAGGAACTGCCAGGCAAGTGTCTCTCACGCGGCCAGGAGTAGTTATCGATGGAGCGGAGGCTGAAGAGGATAAAGTCAGTGCAACTTCCCAACAAGAACGCCCGATAATAAACTACCGTCTGCTCGGACCATCACCTCAGAAAAGAATGGAAACAGTGAGAGCAACTGTCAGAAAGATTGTCTCATCATTCCCTCAGAAAGGCCGCCGATAGTCTTCTGTCGAATTTACACATTAAAACATTGTTTATAGTTCTCTTATCCTGCTGCAGACGTGTGAAACTGTTGCTCATGGACCCACAGTTATCACTGCAATGACAAGAACCAAGTGCGCAAATACTGCTCTTGACCCTCACTGCCTCGCGCAACAACCACAAGACCAGCTCAGCTAGCAGGCATGCGCAGTGTGGCCAGACCCAACTGAGATGTCCCGTGAATGTTGAATTCACCACGCCAGAGTTCATAACCTCAGGACCAAAACTAGGGATGTCGCTCAGCTGTTAGAGGGCTTGTTGGGTGTTCACAAAACCCTGGGTTCAGTCCCAGGATCATAAACCAGGCGTGGTAGTACACACCGGCAGTCCCAGAACTCAGGAAGTGGAGGTAGGAGGATAAGTAAGTATTTTAAGGTCATTCTTGGCTACCTAACAAGTTCCAGACTAAACTGAGACAAAACCTTGTCTCCAAAAAAGAAAGGGGGGGGGGGGGGAGGTAGAAGGAAGAAAACTCTTAATACCAACAGAAAATGTATGTTTCATTATTTTTCTATTAATTATTGATTAATGTTGAAATGATAATACTTTGGAGAACTTGTGCCGTGATAAAATATAGCCACTTAACATTTTTTACTTGTTTATGAGGCTTGAGAATCTTGTCAGCATCAGAGAATAGACTCTGGTTCTGTAAGTATATATGGTATACGTTTGGCACTGGAATACCAAATAAATGGGGGTCCCTTGTCTGTTTTCACGCAGGGTAAAGAGTTCAGATGAGAACCTTAATGCATGGGCCTTAGGAGTCCTGTTCCGTTCAGCTAATAGAGTTGGCATTCATTGTGGCCACTAGAGGGCAGTGGCAGATATAAAATGTGACTTCATCCATTGTGAGGCCCGAGCGCCACAAGTAATTACTAAAGTCCAATTTTTCTTATTCCACTTATGTGCCATCTGCCTGGGGAGAGAAAGACCACGGGGACAGAGCGGAGCCAGAGCTGGCCTTTAACTGCGAGGCTCAGAGGAACGCCACGCCGTGAAAGAAAGTGGATGTTCAAAGGCAAACGTACAAAGCCCCAGGCTGTGGAATCAGGTTTGCTTCCCTGGCTCTCTTACTAACAAGATGCGCGGCTTGAAGCAAATCCCTTGGCCTCTGTTTCCTCCATCCCCCACCCCCAGAGTGAGGAGGCGGAACAAGGTGAACTCTAACAGTCCCCCAACATCAGTGTTCTGCAGTTTCAGAAGTAAATCCCTGAGGCCCTGTTATAATAGGTTTGATGGTCCTCTAAATGAGTTCTAATTACAGGGCTTCCAGGCACACTAGTATTTACCCTAAGTCATGATTCAAGGCCCCTCCAAACACTTAGCATTAATAGAAAATAGAAATAGTTTAAAGTTTAAAACACAAAGCCGAGGATAGTTCAGTTAGTAAAGTCTGAGTACTAGTTGGTAACTGAGTTCAGTTAGTAGAGACTGAGTACTAGTTAGTAACTAAGTTCAGTCGGTAAAGTCTAACTGAGAACTAGCTAGTAACTGGGTCAGTAAAGTCTGTTGTACAGTCATGAGGACCTGGCTTTGGATCCCCACCACTCACCTGAGAAAGATGTGCAGCTTCAGAAGTCTAATCCCAGCTCTAGGGTGGGGAAGAGAGAGGAAGATCCCAAAGCTCCTTGGCCAGCCGCCGAGCTGAACCCATGGGCTCTAGGTTCAATGAGTACCTGTCTCAAAAGAAGAAGGTGGAAAGCCAACTAAGAAGACACCTGGCACCAACATCCGCTGTGCATGCGTGCACACACACACACACACACACACACACACAGGATGGGGGATTATATGTCAAGTAGTAATAAGTACTGTGAAAAAATATCCAGGATCCTTAAAGACATAAAGGAATATATAACAACCATTGACAAAAACATAAATTAAAGAACAATACAGAGCCTAGATAACAAAAATCTACTAAAAAAAAAAAGAACCAATGAAATGATAATGTGTGCATTAGAAATGAGAATACATATCTTGAGTAGTATTGTATACACCCCAGAGAATCGTGGTGGAACAAAGGACACTGATGGATGGCAGTACCCAAGAAGTCACCCAGAGACAGCAAGTGCTTTTTTTTTTTTCGAGACAGGGTTTCTCTGTAGCTTTGGAGCCTGTGCTGAAACTAGCTCTTGTAGACCAGGCTGGCCTTGAACTCACAGAGCTCAGCCTGCCTCTGCCTCCCGAGTGCTGAGATTAAAGGCGTGCGCCACCACTGCCCGGGCAACAAGTGCATTTTTCCTATGAAACCACAGCATCCGTCACTGTAGCCTGTGCAAGTCAGCGAGCTGCAGCCCACAGAGAAGCTGGAGGTGGTGAAGATGCACCTGTGTGACTTAATCATCCTGTCTGAGATGGTAGTTGGTGTGGTGGGCGTGCCCAACCGCAAGATCTTCAATCGGGTGAGGGTCAGCCAGGACGGATGGCACCCATTCCTCCCACTTCATCTCCCTCTAGTAGCCTGTGAGGTCACTGAAGACACATGCCCACCCACAAAGAAAAGTAGAGAGGAACAATAGCAGTCCTCTCTCCCTGATTCCATGGATGGGGGCGGGGGTTACCTTGGGAAGATAAATAGTGATTAAGGTCATGTACCTGGAGCTCTTGTGATGGGGTTAGCCTTCTGAGGAGAAACCGGAGTTCCCTCTGTCTCTTGAAGCCTGCAAGCCAGGAAGTGAGCCCTCACCAGAACCCAACCATGCTGGCATCCTGAACTCGAGCTCCAGCCTCCAGGAAATCTGAAGAGTAAGTGGCTGTTGTAAGCCATTCGACTTCACCATATGCTAGGGTGACAGGCCAGGCTTCACACATGCGTAACAGGCTGGGGCTGGGTTAGAGACCCCCGTGCAAGAACAGGTGCATGTGAAATCGTCCTGACCCGAGGGAACCGACAAGGGTCCGGTCCAGGTGCCAACAGCTGTCTGACGGGGAGGAAAGAGTAGTTCGCGTGGGTAATGACCTTCCTCTGAAGCCTAGGCTGGCCTTGTTTCACTTGTGATGCAGCAGGAACACCTGCTCGGTTAGCAGCATTTACAGGAACCATGTACTTGGACCTGAGGTTGCCAAGCCTGGCTGTACCCTGCAATCTTCCAGGAGGCTTTCAAACATGCCCCCCCCCCACGCGTGTTCAATTGTTTTTGGTTGTTGCCTGGGCAAGAGGGCTGTTTCTAACTCCCTGGGTGGTACTCCTTTTAATCACAGTTGGGAACTACCGGCCTAGAACTTGGGAAGACAAAGGAAAGCTGTCTCCTTTCCCAACAGGCTGGCTCTCGGGAGAGGACTCATAAGCGCTCCAGACAACCAGGGGGTACCTTGGTGAACCTCAGAGGCCACTATTGGGACAGCTGTGGAAACCGCTTCCCCTTTCCGTGGAGGAAAAGCATAGCTCCTCTCTAAAATCAGAAAAGAGGAAGCGTGGGGTGCGGGGCACTTGTCAGCAAAACTAGCAATCCCCCAGCATGGAGGAGAGCGTGCTCTTCCCTTGAAAGGCCAGCAGGCAATGAGGCCCTTGCTTCTCACCTGGACACGGGAATGACCGAGAGAAAGCGAGTTAGACCTTGCTCCCTCAGGCCTTGAAAGTCATCCTCCACACTGCTTGTCTCTTTGGCCCCTACTTCTCAGTTCTCAGCACACCCTAATTCCGAATTCCTCCTGTCTCACTGAGCCTCATCATTCCTGGTGCCCCCAGACTCAGGTCACAACTCCTGCATCTCCTCACAATCCATCTTCGCCCCTCCCCCCGCCTTCCCAGTCCCTGCCAGTCGGTGCCCTAGCTGCGCGTCCATCCCCACCCCCTCCGCTGCTACTGCTCGGATGCTAACACCTGAGTCTGCGCCCCCTCTCCCCAGACCTCCTCACGGAAGATAGAATTGTCTCCCTGAACTGCCTGCCATGTGTTGGCTGAATCATCTTCCTGTGTTCGTGACTCCCCATCGCTTCTTACATAAACCCAACTCCTCAGCAGTAGCTCTGGAGCGTCTTGTAGCCTCACCTCACCCCTCTCTCCCCACTGCCATGGCCCCAGAGCTGGGCTCTCTGCTCCACGCCAGGCATGAACTCACAGCTAGATCCCCTATGGTGAAGCTTCAGACTGACCCCCAACCTGCTTCTTACCGTCCCTTCTGTGTCCCCCTGCAGTGTTTCTCTCCACGCCCTCCTTGCAACACTGCCACCCACCCACCCTTCCCATCTAAGTCCTCGGAGCTCCTGGGGAATGTGGAGCAGTCTGTCTTCTTTGCTCTCCCCTATTCATTGCATCCTGGCCTCCTAATAAGAAGCAAAGCCTTGAGGTGACTCTGGCTTGTCACTGTGTACTGTACATAGCAGGTGCCAACCCTGATTCCTGGGCAACCCAAAGGCCCGAGGTGCCAGGGCCATGGAGTGGGCAGACAGCTGTGCCCACATGGATAGGTGACAACCGCCATGGATGGAGAGCCACACAGAAGAAAGGTGCCATGCTGGAGAGAGGTGGCTCGGCCTCACTCTTCAGCCTGTGTCTTCCAACACACTCGCTCACAGAACACGGGGCGCGGAGCCACACCTTTGCCTGAGCTGCTGCAGCAGCCAGCACCGGGCAACCAATGCAGGCCCTTGACGCACTGCCTTGCCTTCTCCTCTGTTGGAGAAAACAGCCAGGCAAGAAACAACCTGGGAGTTTACTTGAACTCACAGTTGGAAGGACATGGCAGCCATGTGATGGTGGCCGGAGCTCAGAGCTTCTGGTCACATTGAATCTGAAAACCAGGACGGTGAGAAGAACAGATGCTCAGGCTCAGCTCACTCAGTCTCCCTTTCAGTCCAGGATCCAGAGCAAAAACTGAAGGGACAGGCAGGAGGTGGCTCTCCCTGCCTCGGTTAACCTGATGGAAGGGATTCCCCACAGACATGGCCAGAAGCCAGTCTTCCAGGGGAGCTGATTCTTATCCCAGGAGTTGAGAATTGAGATTAGCCATCAGTCACAGGGAGGAACTGTGCAGAAAGATTCAGCAGCTGAGTCCTGCCCCTTTGAGAAAGCGACTTTCAGAAGACCTGAGACCACGCTCCAAAACGGAGCCCTAGCCAGTGAGCCACTGGGACACAGGCAAGTCCCCACTCTGTGCTGCCTCACAGCAGAGCACAGCGAGATCATCTTAAGTGACATCCACCAGGAAAGGCTACAGCCAGAGTGGCAAGAGCCCTCAAGGGATCACACCTTCCATTTGGGAGGATTGTCCAGCGCTCCCATCCCTCACTGAAAGCCCCCCCCCCATCAGCTCCCAGCATGCCTGCTCTCCCTCCACTCATCTGTAGCACAAGGTCTGGAGACTCCTGCTCAGGGGCCTAAAGGACAGCATAACGCACACTGGAAAATGGCTACCGAGATTGCAGAGGGGCCTGTGACAAGGCTGTGAGGTTGTGTGGTTGCTGCTGGTGCATGCGTGTGTGTGTGCACGTGCAAGTGTGTGACCGTGTGTGTGCATGCATGCATGTGTGTGTGGGCACGCTCTCACATGCTTGTGTGTGGTGTTTGTGTGTGCATGTGCGTGCGTGTGTGGTTTTTGTGTGCGTGCGTGAGTGCGCATGTGTGTGTGCATGTGTGTGTGTGTAAGGTGTTTGTAGTCCTCGAGACTGGTATGGTTACAGAGTGAGGATGGAGGTGGCAGGCAGGCTGACTCCTTCCTTTATCAGGGCCCTGACACCTGACACCAGCTCATCACATAGTGGCACCAGGCTGTGCCCAGACAAGCAAGGAAAGGGAAGGGCAGAGAAAAGGGATTGTTTCTGGTGACTCTGTGGGGGTGGGAAGCCCGCAGGTTCCCGGGGGCCCCACGGCCCTGCACACCATGTAGGACACTTAGCCGGAGCTGAAACTGAGCTTGAAAAGCCTGCCTGTCTCCACGCAGCACTGCACGCTCTGAGGAAATGCTCTCCTGAGCAGAAACCCTGTATCTGAAGCACCAAAGCAAACCCTGCCCCAGTCATAGCCCTGGCTGGGGGCACAAAGCAAACCCTCAAAGAGGGGCTGGTATCCCTTCCTGGGGCTGATGGGAGACAAGATAGACCTTTTGTCTCAGTGAAGAAAAGTCTAACATGACATTCAAGAACTCTCTCTAGTAGCCTACGGAAAACGGATGGGAGAGGACGTTTCACATCACGGTGTTCTCTTTTGTGTATTCTGATTGTGTTTCATACGGTTAAAGGTTTGCCAGGTCTCTGGAGACTGAGATGGGGAATTGAAAGTCCAAGTTCAAACCTGGGCTACCGAGGAACAGTTTAAAGCCAGCTGGGGCTATAACAAGACCCTGTCTCAGAAAAACTAAGTGCAAACAGAAGTCTAGCCCTAGTTCCAAGGGCTGAGGGGATTAGTAAATGCTAATCCCCTTGTCCTGCGCAGAGACTCCTGAGGGTGGTAGGAGGAGGTGCAGAAGATGCCCCGCCCACTCTGCCTCAGGCTACCTCAGTTTCCAACATACTGGATCTACACCATCACATCTGGCTCAGGGCTAGAATTTCACAGCTGCCTCTGAAGTACATCCCCATCCTCTGGATTCTGCCCATCCTGTATTTGTTGCTTTAAATGGTTAAAAGCAGGATCCAATGGTCCATATATGTAAAGGGAACTACCATGAAATGTTCCCTCCCATTCTCTTCCCTGAGACCCCCAGAGAAAGCCAGGCTTTCCTCCACTGTCATGAAGACCTGGGCAGAACAAAAGGGAGGGGAATCTATTTTGACTGGTGGTCACTGAGGTTTCAGACCTATTGTGGCAGAAGAGCATGGGGGTCAAAGCTTCTCACCTCACAGCAACAGGAAGGAGAGGGAGGAAGGGAGGAAGAGAGAGAGGGAGGGAGGGAGGGAGGGAGAGAGAGAGAGAGAGAGAGAGAGAGAGAGAGAGAGAGGCTACACACTCACAGGCTTTCTCCTCTTCCCCTTTTATTCCATCAGGGGACACACACACACACACACACACACACACACACACACGCCTAGGCAGTGGTGCTCACACCCTGCTTAGTAACCCTTCCTGGAAACTCCTTCACAGACGCGTCCTCTCTTGAGTACAAACAAGCTGACGATGAAGGCCTATCATCATACATGCAAATAGGCACACACCTGTAGGCACATGAACGGTGATAAACAGAATGTCCTACCATCTCTGAACAGACTGGCTGAGTTCAAGATCTAGTACTGCCCCTCCCCAGCAAGCCTGTGACAGACAGCCTCCCCATGCTTGTCCCCTTACCTGGAGGACAGGACAGGGGTCCATGCATCTATAATTGTATGTGCACCCCTAGAAGACCCAGATTTCACGCCCCATCAGCAACACAAGGCCTTCTCTTTACCACATGTCAGTGAAATGATTACAATTTCTTTTGTCGATTTGGTAATTAAAACTGGCAAGTGCTATTTCCCTGGTTTTATTTTCCTGTTTTTATTATGAGTAACATAACCAGCTTTTTCTGTTTCTACACTTTTTCTATGACCTCTGTTTATATCCTTTGCCCATTATCTTCTGACAGAATAGTACCTTTTTCTTTCTGGAAAGTCTTTATTATCAAGAATATTGGCATATTTTTTCCTTGCTTGACATTACTCTTTTAAATTTGTTTTTGTTAGTTTTTCCACACATAATGTGTAATGTCACCAATAATTATTATTTTTTTCTTTATGGCTTCTATGGTGAATGTCACGCTTGGAAGTTTTTT